GCACACCGGGAGTATTAGTTGTTTCTGTCACTTTCATGAGGAAGTATCTTCAGGTGGTGGTTTGATCGGGTATTCAGGCTGTAGCTCCAGCTGGATCTGCAGTATCTTCTTCCACAGCAAAGAATAGCAGCAGCAGTGGGGACAAGGAGGACTCCTCTCAGTTCCGGCAGGAATGCATGAGTCTGGGAAGCAGCCCACAGGGAAGAGTCTAGGGTCATGAGGGTACTAGCCCTCAGTCCGCAGTGGTTAAGGTGTTTTTTTGTTTTGTTTTGTTTTTTGTTTTTTGTTTTTTTTTTTTTTTTTTTTTACAGGCAGAGTGGACAGTGAGAAAGAGAGAGAAACAGAGAGAAAGGTCTTCCTTTTGCCGTTGGTTCACCTTCCAATGGCTGTCGCGGCCGGCGCACTGCAGCTGGCACATCGTGCTGATCCGAAGCTAGGAGCCTAGAACCCGGTGTGCCAGTGCCGCAGGTGGAGGATTAGCCTATTGAGCCACGGCGCCAGCCGGTTAAGTTTTGAGAGTTATCACTCTGGTACCCACACTGGCATGAGTGGCTAGGGTTGTAGTTAGCACTGGCCCAAAGTGCAGTAAGGATATGCAGGTCTACATGATGGCATCCCTAGGCTTCTATGAAATGTTTTGGTACCCATCTATCTTTTCAACCTTAAAACAATTATCCTGTGTTACGTTATCTGGGGTTGGAGCAGGAACAGAGTGAGCAATCCTGTAGCCACCAATAACGCAATGGTAGACCAAACCAACAGCCCATAGTCCGCCAAGATCAGCTCAGCATGGGGCAGAGCCTAGGCTCACTTTGTTATGGACTATCTGCTGCTGAGGTAGACTTATCATCCAAGGACCACTGCAGTCAACCACAGGTGATGCTGAATGGCATAAGAGTCCAATTGACTGGGGCCATGGAACTAAGATATGCCCAGAGGCTCCATTCATAGACATTGGCCTGGGGACAGAGACCATTAGTATCCACACAGAGATGGTCTTACCACTTCCCAAAGGCAATCTTGTGCTCACTTTGGTGCCTTACTCCCCAGTGGCTGGAGTCTTGCTCCTAGCTGTCTGCTCATCATTCATGGAGAGACAAAAATGCAGCCCCTTGACTGCTCATGCTCACACTAAATTGGGTTGTATGTGAATCTCACAGCCACAGAACCCTGTGATGTCTTATGGATGCACACCAAGCCCACAGAAGGTTGGAGGTGATGCAGGTTGGAACATTAGTCCAGTTGCTAAGGCATCTGTCTCCACCTAATGCCAGGGTGGATCTTCAGGCTCTGTCTGCAGGTACTAGCCTAGTAATAGGAGCCTGTGTTCTCTATCTGGTGCTGGGTCTCACTGTAGTAGGACTGGTACTGATCTTAAGAGCAAACTTCTGATCTTGCTTTCTGCCCTACTCCCCTGTGAAAATATTATTCCTCACCATCTGCACAAGGGACCTGTCCAGTTCTAGGTTTCACCACAGCAGGCCTGGTACAGAGTTTCAAGTATAAATGCTGGACCTAATCCCCTCTCCCTCCCCTAAGCAGGAAGCTATCTCTCCATGCTGTGCTACTATGAGCTGACAGAGGGATGACATGCTAACTCTTTCCTTCCAGCCTTCTTAAATGTATCCTTTCTTACTATTATACTACAACCTGGCTTCCACAGATCTTGTGAAGGTGACTTGATCCATAAATAGCTGTATAAATTGGTATCTCTGTGGGGAGACTTGCTGGGACATCTTAATTAAGCTACCATCTTGCTCTGCCTCCTTACTTTTCATTTTATATTTTCAATATTGACTCTACCTTATTAAGAATAATCATGTATAGATTTCATTGTTTTAAAAATCTTATATTTTGATTATGGATATTTGAGAAAAATATTATATAAAATATGCAAAGTACTATATAATAAACTATTATTCTTTTATAAATCACTGCCGAGGAAGGGCCAAGTAACAGCACTACATTTGCACTTTAACAAGCATTCCATTTATGCGTTATTCTGTTCTTTTAAGATTTATTTAAGAGTCAGAGTTACAGAAGAGAGATGGAGAGACAGAGAGGGAGTCCTTCCATCTGCTGGTTCACTCTCCAAATGGTCACAATGGCCAGAGCTGGGAGGATCCCAGAAGCTTCTTCCAGGTCTCCTTCCTGGTCTCCCATGTGGGTGCAGGGGCCCAAGCACTTGGGCCATCTTCCACTGCTTTCCCAGGCCATAGCAGAGAGCTGGATTGGAAGAGGAGCAGTCGGGACACAAATTGTGCCCATGTAGGATGCCAGTACTGCAGGTGGTGGCTTAACCTACTATGCCACAATACCAACCCCTCTCCCCTCCATTTATATGTGTTGTTTACTCAACCTCCTAAATTTTAAGATACTGTGCTCAAGGGGTCAGTGCTATAGCATGGTGGGTAAGGCCTGCCACCTGCAGTGCTGGCCATATGGGCACCAGTTCGAGTCCAAGCTGCTCCACTTCTGTGCCAGCTCTCTGTTGTGGCCTGGGAGAGCTGAGGAAGATGGCCTAAGTACTTGGGCCCCTGCGCTCCCATGGGAGACCTGGAAGAAGCTCCCAGCTCCTGGCTTCAGATTGGCACAAGTCCAGTCGTTACAGCCATCTGCGGAGTGAGCCAGCAGATGGAAGACCCCTCCCTCCCTCCCTCCCTCTTTCTCTCTGCCTCTCTTTAACTCTGCCTTTCAAATAAATAAATCTTTAAAAAAAAAAAGAGAGAGAGAGATGTGTTCAACCCAGGAGATACCTGCAAAACACAAGCGAGCACTACCCACTGGAAAGTATGCTGAAGATGTGACATCCAAATAGACACTGAACAAGTGATCACGCATGTAATGATTTAATTCCACTTGTGCTAGGTCTATGAAGGAGAAGTGTGGAATGATCAGTAAGATCCTCATAACAGCTCTCAGGGATAGCTTCTCATCCTCAACTAAGGGTAGAGTTATTATTAATATCTGTAATATTAACTGATGTTAATTCTAATAACAAAACATCCTGAACAAATAGTAATTGTAATAATTTTCACTGATAATGACAGGAAATTATTTTATGTCAACAGGTCAATGAAGAAAACGATGAAAATAAATGAGGAAGAAAAATCTAAATGTGTGAGAGTCTACAGATAATTACTGCAAAGGAATTCTAACAGCACTGCTGTGTTCTTACAGAGGAAAATTCCTCCATGCAGAGGCCTACAGCCTACCAATCTGAGACACTCACCCTATCTCTGAAACAGCAAGACTCTGACTACAGAACAATGACCTAGATAAGGTGTCTATTCTCCACATATGCTCCATATTTGCCAAGATGAATCGGACTTCATAGATTTGCTACTTTGTGCCCATAAATCACAAAAATAACCTGGTAATCTCAGTAATTTGATGTCTAAACCATACCTAAGATTACTTCCTGAACCTAAAAGCAACACAAAGCTCCTAGTCAGACCAAGTACCTATTCTGGAAAACATGGCCACTGTGCTCAAAAGATATTATATATGGGGAACAGGCATTTATTCTAGCAGTTAAGACATCAACATCCCACATCACAGTACTTGGGTTTGATTCCCAGCTGCTAACTCCAGCTTCCTGCCAATGTAGACCCTGGGAGGCATCAAGTAATTGCTCAAGTAGTTGGGCCCCTCCCACCTGGGAGACCTGGAATGTGTTCTGGCTCCTGACTGGCCCTGGTCCAGCCCCAGCTGTTCTAGACACTTGGGGAGTGAATCAGCAGATGGCAGTGCACTCTATCGCTCCCTCTCGCTCTCTCTTTGCCTCCCTCCCCTTCTCTATGTCCGACTCTCAAATCAATACACAAAAGTGTTTTTAAGATACTAAATGGTAAAAGCCAGCAGCACAGCAGGTTAAGCTGTTGACTGCAATGCTGGTATCGCATGGAGTCCTGGCTGTTCTGCCTCTGATCCAGCTTCCTGCTAATGCTCCTGGGAAAGCAGCGCAAGATGGCCCATGTGACTGGGTCTCTACTACCCATCTGGGAAATCTGAATGGAGTTCCAGGCTCCTGGCTTGTGCCTGGCCCAGCCCCAGCCATTGAGGCCATTTAGGTAGTAAACCTGCAGACAGAAGATCGATTCTTCTAATTCTGCCTTTCAAATAAATAAATATATAAACCTTAAAAAAAAGATACTAAATGGTAAGAGGTGAACCTCTTCCATCACAACCTGTTGTTCTAAACCAGAAAACCCCCCAGCAAAAGTTGCCATAACCAGGTATTCTTATATTCTATAAAGTAAGAGCCCATAGAAATAGAATCTGAAGATGTAGAAAGGTGGATATCCCATCAAAACAACATATACATTGCTCCTAAATTTTATCCCTACCCAAACACTTGACCAATATCTTATGAATTAAATACAAGTCTCTTCACTTAGAATTTTAGGTCCCTAGGTATCTTCTGACAGCTCACAATGGAAAAAAAAATAACAGTTGATTTATTAAATGAAATGAGAACATCATAAGGAAATTGGAGTGGTGTTACTGAAACAGACAACCTTTGATGGGGCCTTAACTTGGCTTCACTTTAATATTTGCTGTCACAAAAGTATTATAATAGAAAATTATGTTCCATTAAGGAGATGGCACATCCATGGCACTTCTGCTATCACTGCCCCTCCCCATGTCAACACCAGAACTTGCATTCTCTGACAGACATGGACTCGAAGGACAGCTTAACAGTTAGAAATAACCACTCCCCACAAACTGAACGAAGCAGGTACAAGAGTCAGATTCTACTTGCCAATCTTACTTCAGGCTATTTTACTTGCCATTCACAATGCCATATTCCATGACACCAAATGGAATCCATCAGACTTAATCTGTGGCTAGCGTTAACATTATGTTGGATATTGCTAAGGAATATGGATGGGATGAGGAGAAAAACAAGGTTAAGGCCACCATCAACTCAATTACACTGTGTTTACCTTACTCAGTTTCCATCTATAAAAAGAAGATTACATTAGACAATCACTGACCTTATGAAGAGCAGGAGCCAAGACAGGTACCAAGAATCCATTGTAAATGTAATTGACAAGCTGATTTCGAATCAGGGGGTGAGCCACCTAAGACAGAAATAGGAAGTCATAAAAAAGACAGAGTTCAATCTTTAGGACTTCTTAAAATCAAACATTTCTGTGTACAACCTAAAACTGAAACAAAAATTCAAATTTTGGTCATTTGAGAATTAAAGAACAATTCAGACCTCATACTGCCATGTAATTGTTTCAAGTGGTTTATTCCAGTATAAACATCTCACCTAACATTGGCCAGAACAGGTGTTTAGCCTAATGATTAAGACACCAGTATTCCACATTGAAGTGCCAGGGTTCCACGTGTGGGAACCTGGGCTATGTTACTATCTTGTGGCTATGGTCCTGGCCCAGCCCCGGCTGTTATGGACATTTGGAGAGTGAACCAGCAACAGATGGGAGCTATCTTGCTCTGTCTCTCTCAAACAATAAATAAAAATTAATTTTTAAATAATTGAAAAATCAGTAGATTGTACTTTCAAATTTCAAGAAATGTATAAAGTATTTCAATAAAGATTAAAATAGACTAAATATAAACAAGGATTCATATATTAAAATTAACAAACTGGAAAGTGTAGTTTTTCCTCCTGAATTCCTTTAGGTCTCATCTCAAGTTGTGATTAACTAAAACTAAAAGGGTATAACTGTCATAATTGGACAATTAAATACATGTATCTTGCTAGAACAAAGAATTTTCTCATCTTGAAGATACATTTTGATAGTCATTTATACTAGGAAAAAAGGCATTTAGAAATATTGTCATAAAAAACAGACAATGTTCAGAAACAAAATACATTATGATAGTTACCACACATCTCATATTTTATTTTCAAAATATATTTAATTTAGATAACCATTTATTGATATCTTTTGTAATTAATCCTTTCAGTACCCCAAAAAATCTTACAAGTATATGGTTTCAATTTCAAAACTATATTATTTAATTTCCCTATTCTTAACTATGTCCAATTAGCTTTACTTGTCTTTCTTAAAAAAAAGGCCGGCGCCACGGCTCACTAGGCTAATCCTCCGCCTAGCGGCGCCGGCACACCGGATTCTGTCCCGGTTGCCCCTCTTCCAGGCCAGCTCTCTGCTATGGCTCAGGAGTGCAGTGGAGGATGGCCCAGGTGCTTGGGCCCTGCACCCCATGGGAGACCAGGAAAAGCACCTGGCTCCTGGCTCCTGCCATCGGATCAGCGCGGTGCGCCGGCCGGGGCGGCCGTTGGAGGGTGAACCAACGGCAAAGGAAGACCTTTCTCTCTGTCTCTCTCTCTCACTGTCCACTCTGCCTGTCAAAAAATAAAAAAATAAAAATAAAAAAGAACAATAAAGTAAAAAGCAATTTCTAGAGAAATCAGGATAGATTTTTAAGTTACTGATAATCTCTCTGTGTACAACTGAATAACTAACAGTATTCTATATTTATTATTTCTACACACTTCTGCAAGAAAATGTTGATAGACTGTAATATTAAAGGAAAAAAATAATTTAAAAAGTAACTCATTTGTCTTATATATAAATAAAACTTCCCTTGACTTAGCAATAAAAGTGAGATGAGAACTAAAGTAATTTACTTGCATTTTCTTTGAGAAGCTATTTCTTTATTTGTTAGATAAACAGATTATAGCTAACATTTTTCATCCTAAGATTACCATAAAGTAAACCTGATTTCTTAATAAATCCAACATTAAGGTAATATTTATACTACATAGAAGTAAAACATTTCTGATGAAAACCAATTCCACTTCCTTTAAATATACTACATATATATATATCAGATTTTTATTGAAAACAATAACAATAACAAAAGGTAAAAATCCAGCCAAGAAGCCAAAGATACAGGAGTTCAGTGGTTGTTTTTTCCCCAAAGCAGGCCAATTTCAAAGCAAATTTAATTTGGGTTGCTAAGAAGATGCTTAACTTCTTCTAAATTCAATTGGGATAACAATATTCTTTATGTAGCATGCACCATTAAGCAAAATAAAGTGTTTTCCTTTGTAGACTCCCAAGAAGACCTAGAAGTAAAAGTAGTATAACTCGGAATACTTAGAGGCCTAAAAATATCTATTTAATGAGTCTAACATCGAACTTATTTTTGATGGTTAAGTGGATAATCAAAACAGAATTAATACTTCTTTATAAAGAAAACCTAGCCATTTTTTTCTCAATTAAAACTTCCCAGAAGCCTACAAACTAACATTCTCACTCACTTAAGGACATTCAGTAGGCTTGACATAAAGCATCAATATTCCACATGCATTTATAAAAATAAACAAAGTGTATGTCTGCAAACTATTTACAAAGAGGTCTTTTATTGTGCTTTGGTACCTGGATGACTGCATTGCAAAACTCCAAGGAGTTCATGAACTGGACGAGAGAAGGCAGTAGGAGCCAGTCATCTTTCAGAAGGCAATGCCATTCCTCGCCTTTCTCTTCTAGCTTCGTAGGCAGTGAAGAGTAGAGACCACTGAGCCCAGTTGCAAGTACCTACATTCAGAAATACAAAAGTAATTAACAGACAGCTGACAGGTGACTCTGGTGCTGCCAGTCCAAAGACCAAACTCTAAGTAGGACGGTATCTACGTTACCAGAGGATATCAGCTAGGTAGGAAGGATTCAACTGTTGGAAACTGCAGGGAAGAGCAATAGCATCATCAGAGCTGTTTGGTTAATGCATACACAATTGATATAGGTTGCTCACCTCTTATGTGCCAGGCACTGTGCTGTGGTGGAAATGGGAGGAGCAAGGAGGACACGTTCAAAGGTGAATAAAACATGAATCCTGCCCCCCAAGAAGTTCAAGAGCAGAATAGGTTCATGGGCAATGTTACATGGAATGCAAATACATGGAATGCAAATACAGAAGATGCACATGTATCACAGCCTAAGGGAGGAAGTCCCAGACTAAGGTGGTCCAGGAAAGGTTACTCAGACAGGAACCACAAGTATACTTACGAGAAAGATTCCCTGCAATGCCTGGCACATTCAAGGTCATGACTGACACTTATATGTTTATAGTTTAGAAACACTTTTACGTATATCATCTTATCTGGTTGTATTCACAAACAACTGCAAATAGAAAGAACTGAGAGATGCGAGTCAGTTAGATGTGATGACAAGAGTTGGCACACAGCTAAAGCAGATTCACACTGAATCACTATTGAGAGGAAAAAGCAGAGAAAACACACTTGAGCATCGCATGTGAAGTGGATACAAGGGTTATCTAGCCGTGACATCAGTGGGTATTAACCCACAGCTCCTGAGGTTCACTTACTCCCTTTAGAGACCCATGCCTACACTGACAGCATTTGGCCTTTGTAAAGGAGAATGAAAGAGAACTTAAAATTAGCGAATTATTAAGCTTGGTCATCAAGAAAATAGTGATGCCTTTAACAGAGACAGCAATGTAGAAATGGAACCCACTTAATGCTGAGTGCTAGGTGATTTTATCTTGGGTTGTACAAGACCAGGGATTCACAACTACCTCCAACTGAGAAGTGATGCTAGCTAGCTAAGCAACACCTTAAAGATCCTTTTCTGGCAAATATGTACAGAACAAATAGGAATGGCACACACTGGAGCCACAAGTTACCTTCAAAATGCACTGCTCTGTCTGGCACAAATCCTGTGGCTATGATGAACTAAAGCGGGATGGAAACATTCAAGAAAAAATATACTAGTAGTTCTAGTACAGCCTAGTACATTTCTAGTAAAGTAAAATTATAGTAAAGCCTAAAAAAGAAATAGTGATCTCACCACCTAATGAGAGATGAATGGCAAAGTGTTAGAAATGCTCAGAAAACACAATAGAAAACATATAGTGCTGTGGGTATACAAAAGACCTTTAACTGAGATTTGGGGGATGGGCAGCAGAAAATATTCTCAGAAGCAATGTCCAGGATGCCAAAGAATAAACAGGGAGTAGCCAGAAAAAGAATGGTGAAAGGAAGATATTGTAAGCAGAGGAAATGGTACCTGCATGTTTACAGTCTCCTTTATTCACTTTTTTTTTTTAAGATTTTTATTTATTTATTTGAGAGGTAGTTACAGTGAGAGGGAGAAACAGAGAGAAAGGTCTTCTGTCCGTTGGTTCACTCCCCAATGGCCACAACGGTCGGAGCTGTGCCTATCCGAAACCAGGAGCCAGGTGCTCCTTCCCAGTCTCCCATGTGGGTGCAGGGCCCAAGGACTCAGGCCATCCTCCACTGCCTTCCCAAGCCACAGCAGAGAGCTGGATTGGAAGACAAGCAGCCGGGACTAGAACCAGCACCCATATGGGATGCCGGCGCCGCAGGCGGAGGATTAACCTACTGCACCACAGCGCTGGTCCCATCTATTCACTCATTTATTCACTCACTGATTAAGAAAAATACTGAGCAATTACTCCAGATTCAGGTATAGAAAATACAACAGGAAACAGCATGTACTAAAGCTCAGAAGAGAGAGAAAAGATGGTTTCTTCCAGAATCTAAGAAAAGCACAGAATTGTTAGGCACAGAATCAGAAAGAGGCTGAAAAGATAATATGGGAGGAGCCAGCACTGTGGCATAGACAGCTAAGCCTCTGCCTGCAGTGCCAGAATCCCATATGAGCGCGAGTTCTAGTTCCAGTTGCTCCTCTACTGATCCAACTCTCTGCTATGGCCTGGGAAAGCAGCGGAGGATGGCCCAAGTGCTTGGGCTCCTGCACCCGCATTGGAGACCTGGAGGAGGCTCCTGGCTCTTGGCTTTGGATCGGCTCAGCTCCAGCTGTTGCGGCCATTTGGGAAGTGAACCAGCAAATGGAAGACCTTTCTGTCTCTCCCTCTCCCTTTCTGTAACTCTACCTCTCAAATAAGTAAATAAAATCTTTAAAAGTTAATATGGGTTGGATTCCCCAGGGTTTTATAGGCAGAGGTTAGGAGACATTCAAATGGAGAGTCCAATTGACATACAATGTGCATCTGATGCTTGAAACAGAGCTGGGGTCTAGAGACAGGTACCTGGAGCTATCCACCTGTGAATGGTATCTCCAACTATGTAAACCAGATTGGGGAAAAGAAAAGAGAGATTTAGACAGGTGAGACATGATAAAAACAATTCACAGCGCCTGTCATCAGAAAACAGAAAGTCAGAAGGTGTTGTGGGTTTAGATTATGGTAAACTTGGAAAAAATATTTTCTACAGATTCATGCCTCTCTTTTCTTCTTGTCCTGTTCCCACAGCACTTTGTTCACCTTTATTCAGCAGCCACCTGGCTTGCATTTATTAAAGTATAGCCATTTTCTCCATCTCACCTGATCTGACTTGCTCACTCCAGTCCACAGTGGAGGTAAGAATGTTTCTCCAGTCAGGTGTGTTGAGTTTGAGGGTAGCAGTATTTCCCACAAATGACACACTCAACAACAGAGTACAGGCCTGGGAGGTTTTAACACAGAGAAACCAGAGGAAGGCATAGGAGGAACTGGGGGCAGAAGGGAATTGTACAGGAGCCTACACGGAGTATACAAGGCAGTGAGAGATACAGATGAACCACCTCAATCCCAGAGAAATCAAGACTGTATACATTTCTCTGTTCTATTTCCTAGTAACCTTTATTCACCCATTCATTCACTCATTTAAAAAAAAAAAATACTGAGCACTTACTCCAGGCCAGATACTATATTAAATACAGGAAGTACAATAGTAAACAAGATAGAATATTTATCTCTTTCAAACTCAAGGCATCTGTGGTCCCAAAGGAGAATGTCCCCTATTCAAAATATTTAACTCCTTGTCAACTACTCAAACTAAGCACTTTAATTCCAGTATTGAATGTCTCACACATGAGTTGCCCATTATAAATTAGAAACCTCTGGCAAAAGAGAACAAAGCCCAAAAGTTCTTCTTGAAGAGAAATCTAATCTTGATGCCACGTTTTTAAAATCAATTACATTTGCTAACTCATGCTAAATTAACCACAGAACAAAGGCTTTAATTCTGCATACTCCTGATTTCTTAACCACTTTCAGGCTTTGAAGATGAATTCATAAAGACAGGCTTAATTTGTCTGACTAAAAAGCTGAGAATAACTATTCAGTATATCAATATAATTACAGCAACATTAATTTTCAAATTACATACATCAGTGACAGTAATTAAAAATAACACACACCTAATATTCACTTTTTTAAATTAGTATTTGGAAACGGGCATGGAGGGATCTGAACAGAAAGAAGCCTGCTCCTACACAAGGCTACTGCCCTCACAGGATGCCCCCTACTCAGAGTGCCTCAGGCTACATCTTCAGCTGAGTGAGAAGGGTCTTGCCATGCTCCTGCCACTATAAAGTGATGATGTCTCTGCTACCTTCCTCACAAGCACAAGAAAGGGGCAGGGCAGAGAAAATGAATAGTCTCCTCACCACAAGGCTTTGCTCAGAGTTCAGGTTCATTCACTCAGACCACATACAGGATGGTACTGCAAAAAATTCATGGAAAAATGAAAACATAAGCTTGTTGTGATGCAGAACAATCTTTTTTTTTTTTGCACAACAATCTTAAAATCCATACATACAAGGGGATCTTTAAAAAGTTCATAGAAAATGTTTATTATGAAAAAAACGACACATGGATTTCTATCCCTTTACATCAAAATAAACTTATCTTTTAGTTCCATTTTTCCATGAACTTTTTGAAGAACTCTAAGATTTTGACAATACAGACTGTGGGACAAGCATATGGAAGATTGGTACTGGGGAAAGAGCAGTGAACAAGTCAAACCTGGGGAGATACAGAAGACAGCTAATAAACTAATAACCACAAGAAAGTTAAGTGCTATTCAAAAGACTACAGAGTGCTGTGGCAACAGGGCAAGGGAAAAGGGGAGGTAGCAACAGGTTGGTACGTCATTTTTCCAAGTTCAAGAATTTAAAAGCATAATCTATTTACTTTTAAATTTTCATTTCAACATAAAAATTGTTATAAAAATTTGAATACATACATATACTCAAGAACTAACTAAAAATAAAATGTCCATCCACTATTTTATACTTTATTGATCTTGACCACAAAAAATGTAAAAACACTATATTTATTCCAACACATTAAAAACTAACCCAATATCTTTATGTCCTCCCAAAAAATAACCTAATCACCATATGAAACCATGTGAAAAACAGACAGAAACAAACATATTTCCTAGCAGCAGAACAGCATGAGTAATTGCTGAGATCATGGGTAGTAATACCAAGCTAATACAATTTTGAACCACTCTCTGCCACTGACAGGAGTTATTAAAAATTTTTAAACTTCAGTTTCTCCATTGTGTTATTGCAAAGCTTAAAGAAAATAATGCATGTAACAAAATTAGCATAATTTACACACAGTAAAGTGAGCATAATGTGCACATACCATACACAGGATGTATATGCATACCATATATTACACAGAATATTAGCATTATGTACACCGCAAAGTTTCCATTGGAGAGAAGAGAGATGACAGACACTGAACAAGTCAAGTAAAGTCG